GACACATAGACATATATTTTGTAATATTTGTGTATTAAGAGCGCAAAGTGATACATTGCCGCTCTGAGCGAGAAGTTTGGCTATCTCGCGAGAGCGGCAATGTCACTTTGCGCTCAAATTACACAGAGGATTTTTTCTACAACCGGTGTTTCTATAAAAATGTTTGGTAACAATTAATAATTATTGATAACCTCAAATTAAATTATTTATTATGATTTCCATGGTAACTAAGCGAGCGACAAAGTAAAAGTGCAACTTTGCGCATTCTTTTGGAAGGGCAAATTTGTACTTTTCGCTTGGTTGTAGAAAAAATATATTATGTAATATATGAAATGATGTCCCATTAAAAAAAAGTGAGACAAGCCCAGTTTTTCTTTAAGTACGCCACAATACATAATATTTTACAGGTATATAGAAAAACTTAAAATAAAATCTAAAGATATATCCGAGTTTTTTTCTAACAAATTAGCATCTTAGATAAAATTTCAGTATTTCCAGATTTTATTGCCCATGTATAAATGTCCTGGAAAAATTTGGAGGGGGCCCCCGAATTCTTATCGCCGCCACTGCGTGTACTAAGTAATTAAATGCACATTAAGTTACTTAATTCAGAGACTGAAGTAAGCTTTAAGTTAAAATTGGAAAAAAGTGAGGTTTGGCAGATGTCAGATTGGAAAAGGTTAAAACCGCTTGATTTGTCAAATAAAATCTCAAATAAAATTGGCTTTAAATTCCGAAAAACATTACTTTGTCTAAATCGCAGATAAAGTATGGTATGCAATTTGTTTTAAAAACTTCTCAAGAAAACTAGTTTACTATAAATTCGCCCGTAACTTAAATGGCGTTTATAAAACTTACATAATATAGGTACTATAATAGATTTTTAAGCTGTTGGTCAATTTTTAGTTTATAAAACGACATAAAAAATATATCTACCTACCTAATACAATAGGCAACATGTTATAATATATAACTTTTATATACCTAGTAATATATATTTTTTATGTCGTTTTATAAACTAAAAATTGCCCAACAGATTAAAAATCTGTTATAGTATATTATGTAAGTTTTATAAACGCCATTTAAGTAAACTTTTAAATAAGTATACTTACCTATAGGTATTTTGGTAAAAATAACTTATTTTTAACCGTTATTAACTTTAAGAACACCCTGTATATAATTTGTTTAAATAAAACAAGTATCTGCCTGTAATGTCACTATTTTGCTTCATAATAATTATTAATTTTCCATATTCTACATTAATTACACCGCGCAACAAGAAATTCCAGCCCAAATGGATTCAACGCAAAATGAATAAGAAAACTCTCGCAGGGTTTGGCGATATAACCTCGAGTTTTTTACAATATATTTATCGGGATACCCTTTTTTAATCTTTAAAAGAAATCGTTTTTCCTACAAGTGAGCTATCGATTTAACAAAAATAAATAAAAAATCAAAGACTTTTTTTTATATAAAAAATAAGCTTGAGGGGAATGATACTAAATGTTCGTGTTTCTTTTCAGTAACATTTAAATAAAGTACGTATGCAAAAGTAATTTATCTAGAATATTTCGAGTCGTTATTGCCTGTGGGACGGCAGCACTGTTAATGCAGCTATGTAGCAAAAATCAAGGAGTTATTGTTTAGATATGTTAAGTTTATAATGGTCTCAACAAATTTGCATTTCAAGTATAATTCGAGATGTAGGAAACAGATACGGGTCTAAATTATTGGAAGCCTTTGCTTATTTTTAAACTACCAAGTAGGGTATGTTTTATTTATTTTTAATGTGTAGGTACCTATTATTTAATTTCATATCAAATATAAAAAAAATTATCTAAATTGGCTTATTTGGTTTAGTTAATAGCTAGTGGTTTTATTCAGGTTCAGCATTGTCCTTTGGATATCCTTTTTTGCAAAATATGCATAGAATGGTTTCGAAATGTTCGAGATGATTATAATAAATATTATACAGGGTGTCCTGAAATTAGTGCACCATACTTTAACAGCAGATTGTACGTGCAAAAATAAGAAAAAAAATTCTTATAAACATAGGTCAAGAAATGCCTCTTAAGGGAGCTACAGCCCCCAAAAGGAAAGCCCCTGAAGATGGTTTTTATTTAATATCTCCAAAACCGTTAAAGATATAAAAGTGAAATTTGGGGAATTACTTAAACTTTTTATGACCAATAAGACAATTTAAAATTTTTTGAGGTTTGGGTCAGATTGATAGGAAGTAGGGTTAAAATCACCTTAAATTTTTTGTACGTATCTTCTACCAGAATTCGATGTCAGATTATGAAATTTTAGAGTTTTGCACATAAAAAAGGTTATTTTGTTGAACTCCGATAACATACACCGTTTTCGCATAAAATCGATTTGAAAATTATTTTACATGGCATAAAAATTCACAATTAAATCATAACCATAAAATGGACTCGCGTGGTCCTTGGAATACGGCTGCCATGTTTAAGAAAAAGTAGAATAATTCAAGACAGGTGACAGTTTCATGTAGTAAGTGACAGGGTGTTTCTACTTTTTTATAAATATTAGATAAAAACAATCTTCAGGGGCTCCCTTTTCGGGGGCTGTAGCTCCCTTAGGAGGCATTTCTCGACATATGTATAGGGACTTTTTTCTTATTTTTGCACGTAGAATCTGCTGTTAAAGTATGGTGCACTAATTTCGGAACACCCTGTATAAAAGTATTTATAGGTTAATGTTAAATTTTTATTCTGACGTCATTTTATCTTAAACTGCAAAGCATTTTGTTCAAAATTTAAAATATGCTTTTTTCACTTAATCTAATAAAAAAGATATAATAGAGTGTATTGTTTTTAAAACAAATATCAAAACAATTAATATTGGGTCATATTTTTTCTTAAAGATAACAAAACTGATTTTAGATAAATTAAATCCAATTACATTGAAAACTAACCAACAATTTTATAAGCGAACAAACGAACTTTTTAAAACTAATAATATTAACAACCGGATTAAAATTTTCAAAACCTAGTTAATAGAAAGTTTGTTATTATTATTATTCAAGAAATCCTATTCTGAATGTTTTGCAATAATTTATTACCTCGTATTTTGTTTGTTTTAAGGTCAAACTTTCATATTATTTTAAAGTTGTTGTACTCAGCTTCCACATATTTAGAGAACTATATTGCGTTTGTATCTTTGCTCCTTGTATTAAAAGAAGATAGGATTGGCAGCCATTTTTAAGCTCTGATTTAGGAAATTTTAGCTTGTTAAGATTTTATTGGTTCTGTTAATAATTATTGTAAACAATAAATTACAAAATTAACAAGCTATTTTTTACATACACTTGACTCATACTTAGGCAAATATTTAATAAAATAAGTTTCAAGCGTTCTATTATTTCCTAGGCTATACAAATAATTTGGACTAAACAGGTGAAGTGAAGCTTTAAGCAGGACGCGCACTGAATTCGCTCGACTCGGATCGGCACGGCACAGCAGTGCCGAACGTTTTGCATTGTTGTTATTTCAATATATCCCCGCGCACTCATTCGGATCGGCACGGCAGAGACCGTTCGACTCGACTCGTCTACGTCCGAGGTTCCTTGGGAAGGCAACTTCTGCCGAACGTCGAGTTGATTATACTAATTACACAGTAGGGTCAGCCCTGGATTAAGGGGGGCTATAGCCCCAGGCCCCGCCACTCAGGACCCCTGACACCACCGACAAAATGTTTACATTTATTACATTTTTCTTTTAATAAAGAACTTTGAGTGCCCCCTAAATTTATCTTAATCCGGCCGTGAGTAGGGTGGAGCGAAAATAAGGCGATTTCTTCACAACATAGAGCTATAATGATATCCTCCTCAGAATCCGATGATGAACTCATTTTGTTTTCTGGACAATAATTTGCTCGGATGCCGAAAGAGAACTAGTTTCTAGTCGAATCAGTGCGCGGATAAAAGTCGTGCTGATCTGACCCGTTCCGTGCCGATCCGAGTCGAGCGAATTTAGTGCGCGTCCTGCTTAATTGTAGGCCCTCGCTAACGCGTCGGTTTCCAAACTTTGAGCTCAGCACAAAAATACTAACTTCTCAGCCTTATTAAACAAATAAGTATTTTAGATCATTTAATTGATTCGGCCGATTTAAACTCCGTACTGCCGACTCCATCTTATATGGTATTTCTAGTTTCCCAGCTTGGTTTTATTTAAGACAGAATTAGTCAATCTCAATATAGTTTTCTATAGTCAGCCTTTTGAATAAAATCTATTTAATTATTTGTGTGTGGGATATTGTTACTTAAAATTCCGGTATTGTAGATAAAGTAATTAGTAGGGGTTTCTTTGAAAGCGCCACGTAGATATACCCAGTCAGATTATTTAATTTAAAATTAAATTTAATATTACACGAGTATATCAACCTTTCCCAAATCATTAGGGTATAGTTTTGTTTAGAAGTTTAATGAAATTTGTTTTATTTACAAAGGCGCCTTAATTTACTCCTATTCCATCAAAACCAGATTCCGTGCATTTTTTATGATGGAATCTAAATATCTATAAAACGACTTTTGTTTACTTTAAAGGAAATTTCCATTTTCTGCAATATAAATTATTTAAATTTATTCTGCTGGGTTTTGTATTCTCCAGTTGACACGTAAGTAATTGCCGCCCTTTTTACAAATTCATTCAATTAAAGATGCAACGATACGTCACAAAACCCATTTGATATCAAGTTGGCGTTATTCCCTAGAGCATCGCCAACCGGGATGCGTCTTTGAACTGCATTTGTCCGCATTTTAAACAGTGTTTTACGGGTTTTAGAGCATCAACTTTACTGGAACAAAATGCACCGACTCGATAAAAACGGATTTTTGCATCCGGCAAGAATATGCATGGGGCGACTACGGCGGCGCGTCGCGACGCGTCGTCTTCATTATTTAACTACGTTATTTTTCTTTGAAGTTTTTCAAGCACCAACTCTATTTTAAGTGGCTGTTATGTGACGAACCAACTTACCAACATAGATGGCCGTGGAGTTGTGGTGAGGATCGTACGGACACACAGCCTGTCCTGGTTTCTCCTTTTCAATGGTATAGTTTCTTGCCAGCACATTATATTCTCTGCATATTGGCTTGAAAGCGTTCGTACCGCAAAGTAACAAACGGCCCGCTGCTGTTTTTGCCATAATTCGAATATAATTTTGGCAATTTTCCTGCAACAAACAATACATTATTAGATTTTTATATTGCACTCAGAAAAATATTATGTCATGAAAAGCAAAGGAAATTATATTTATTAATCCAAATAAAAAATGTTGTAGTTTTATATACATTTACCAACAGTTTTACAATGTATTTGAACACTTTTAAAGTGCACCCTCTTTAAAATATGTATACGAAAAGAAATCTATTTATTTCATTGCGTTTCTCAACAAGTTTCAAAAATATATGCATTATAAAATTGTTATACCTACACCTATTAATTTAATGAGACACACCAATGACGCAAAAATATATTTCAATCCCTTTGAATTATTATTGTTTTTATTGATTTTATAAAAAAATTGCAGGTGTGCAATTAACCAATATATATTTTTATATGTTAAAGTACATTGTACCATGGCAGTATTCCATTCATATTATTTATGTATCTTAATTAGATAATATTTTAAATTATAAGCACAAAGGTAAAGGACATCTAAAGAAAGATCTTTATAATACACGTTTGTTTCTTGAGTGAGTCGGAAGTAATGCACCAAACTGTAACATATATACAATGTATACAATGTATACATTACATATTTAACTCAAATATGTATACCTACATTGTAATAACAAAAAATAGTTTCCAGGGCATTGGATTGGTCGAGGTATACTTTTAGTTTGCCTCCAAGTTCTCTAGACTTCACACAAATAGACTATTATCTATAGGGTTGGTTAAACATTGAGATATATCTTTGTATATACACAAAATAAAATGCAACCCCATGGGGTTGGAACATAAAACTGTTTTATTGCATATTTGGAATGTACGCATACGAGTTTTTTGTAAAAAAATTCCTACGTTTCTCAAACAGTTTTTGAGAACGCTACAAGGTTTTAAAAAACGCAAGATTTAAAACGCTTCGATGAAGAGGCGCGTGACGTCACGATTTTATAATATAAGAGTCAAGAATTACGTATGAAGTATGCAACATGAAAATTCAAACATAACTAAATTCGTTGACAGTTGTAATATTTTTTACTTATTTTAAAACCATTTACAGGGAAATATGTATATAATTACGTATGTAATTTACCGCGATTTTTAAATAATTTAAATACTTTGAAGAATATTACACATAATTTAAAAACACTTTGGTTATTCATTTAAAAGTTACGTTATAACAAAGTTTGACTTTATTTACGTACGTAAATCATTATTAACCACTAATAGTTAATACAACCTATAATTTAAACTTTTTGACGATTTTATGAGTCTTGACGAATATGTGTAAGTGCTTGTTCACAATGGACGTAACCATAAAAAAAACATAAGAAATACATAAAAAAAGTACATAAGGATACATAAGAAGCGTTCACAATGTGCATAGTACGTAATCTTTACGTTTATGTGACTCTTATGTAAAAAATTATGGAGTACCGTAAAAATCACATAAAGTTAAAATAATTTAACTTTATGAAATATTTATGTAGTTTTTAGGGAAAATTTGGTGACTTTTGGTTTGTTATGTTTTTATATTGGCAAATCTTGCGGTGCCTATATAGTAACCATTTGCTATGGAAAAGGTTGAGTCACCGGTAGACAAATACCTAAGATAAAGCCAAATTATTATTTTAGTTTTTTATTATAATAAAAGTAGGTAGGTACAAGACACCCAGAAGAACAGAAATTCAAACATCCCGAAAAGACATTACTTGAACTATTCAAATCCATTTTAGACTAACTTCTTTTTTTCTTCATCGGCCATTTAATCTTATGTTGTAACCTTACATTGTATGTATTTACATAAGGATTAATAAATACGTTATTTATTTATTTAAAAGTAAGTAAACAACCTCAATGTAATGGCCGTTGACTTGGACTCAGTGGTTTTCGTATGCTGTGTTTAATCAATTTAGGGGACACTAGTTTTAGCAATTCCTCAAATAATGAGGCTGTCATTCTAGTATAAGTAAAAAACCATTCAGTGTCATGAAGTCGCATTTCAATAATTAGTCTTCAAAACCCTTTTCTTCTCTATCTCTATTTATAGGACGAACCCACCAGCGTCTTGTTCGTTTTGGTTTTAGCCTATCTTGGCGTTCTTGGCATCGTCGTCTTAGTAGTAACAATAATAACAATTCTTCAGTCTCACTCATTTTAAAAACACAATTCACAAATTTTATGAGTTTATTTTCGAAAAAATGACATTAGTTTGACATGCTCAACATGTCAATTTTTATGGTCATTGTGAACGCTCTTTGGGTTTTATGTAAATTTTATGGTTATGATTTATGATTTCATTATGTATCTTTTATGGTTATGTCCATTGTGAATCCACACTAATAAAACAAACTAAATGCAAGTAATAGTTTTATTTTAATAAATATATGATAAACTTACATAAAGGATCATTTATTTATAAGAATACTCATTGTTGAGCACGTTTTATATATATCTCATTAAAGTGGTCTAAATAAAGAATTCCATATAGAACGAAGTTTAAAAAGTGCTTTAAAAGAGACAAAATTTTAAAAAAATTAAAAATTTAAAATTTCTTAGTAAATAGTATTTTACGAAAAAAATTTGAGGAAACTTACAACACCCTATTTTTTTTGCTGATTTGGCTCATTCCTCTAAAAATAGGTAGATTTTGTCTAAAACATTTTTAGTTAATTGTAATAGTTGGAGCTGTAATAAAAAAATCCATTTTGTTAGATTTTTCTTCAGTATATATATCTTATAAGATTCTACAATAATTTTTTTATAAGTTGGTTGTTATTATTAATAATACAAATTTAGCTCAAAACTATTTTTATTTTTAGAATGTTTATTAAAGTAGCTGCTCAAAATGGTGGCCTTCCACTTCAATGCAATTCGGATTTTAAATGTGACTACACAAGTAAGTAGCGTATCTGCTGGAATTTGGGCACAAGCATTTCTAATTTGCTCAATCATATTTTCACGGGTTGTTGCTACTTATTGAAACCCCACTAAAGAAATCTGACGAAGTTAAATCAGGTGATCTAGCAGGCCAACTAACTAAGTACTTTAGGTGCTAACACCAAATAGTGTGCCTGGCAACCATCTTGTTGAAACCACATGTTCTCTAGTACTTTCAAGCTTAACTAATGTAGTTTATTTTCCAAAATATCTCGGTGCATTTCACCATTTAAGTTCCCTTTAAAGATGTAAAGAACGATGAGTTTATTTCCAACCATTTTACAACACACGTTAACAGTCGAAGGACGCTGATGTTCAACTTGAAGGAGACAACTCGGATTTTTAACACTCCAGTAATGCATGTTGCGCCGATTTACCGTTCCGTGGTTCGTAAAAGACGACTCGTCGGAGAACAATACAAAATGGAAAAAATTTGGATTTTGTTGTATTTGTTGACAAAAAATTACCCTATTTTGAAAATCTAAACCATGAAGCTCCTGATGTAACGAAATATGGTTAGGATGGTATTTAATTTATTTTAATATTCTGGTAACACTGCTTTGGGATATTTCGGAATCGCGAGATAATTGTTGTGTGCTTGCATGAGGATTAGCAGCAACGGCTGCTAATACATTAATTTCAGTATTTTTACCGCTGACTATAGCTCGACGAACTTTTTTTTTTCGGTTAAACATGTCCGTTTTTAGTAAACTGCTTGAATGTACGTTAAAATGAAGAACGCAATCGAATTTTTTCCGGAAAACGCTGAGCGTAGATATTAGCATCATCATCAAGATTTCTGCCTGCTTCTTCATAAATCAAAACCATTTATATATTTTTTATTTTAGTTTTTTCAAAAGGTTATTTCGTTTTTTTGCACCCTAGGAAAAAAAATTGCCAATTGCGCCTTGGCGGAGATAACAAAAAATAACAAACAAAAACAATAATAAAAAAAATTACACGAGTTTTAAATGTAAAACTAATTAATATTGATTAAATGAAATAATGTATAAAACTTTAACTTTAGGAAACTTAGATATAAGTAAAAAATCGTACTTTATTACAAAAATATTGGATGTAAATTTAATAAGATAATTATGTATGGATGTAATTTAATAAGATAATTATTTCCAATGAAAAAGTTATATATATATCACTTTTATATTTTTATTAAAAAATTATTGCCGAATGGTAAACAGAGTAGAAATCGAACAAAATAGATTTTTTTATTACAGCGCCATCTTTTACAAATATAAAAAAAATGTTTTAGACAAAATCTATTTTTAGTCGAATAATCCGAATCTGCAATAAAAAATAGGGTGTTTCATTGGAAATTTTTAAGTTACCCCATGACCTCCCTATAAGGAATAAACTTTATTGCTATGCAAATTAAACAGTTGAAATCATTATTATAATTGGCTTCATCATTATTTTTTTTGGTTAACAAACTTTTCCTGTAATAATACCGATTTACAGTGTGTGACGTCGAATTATGACGTCAATCGGGATCGAACTTATAGTAAATTTAAAAAGAAACGACGCACACCACATCAATCAGCTGATCGGGCACGGTTGTCAATGTGATGCCAAAATCATTGCATCAAGTGAAAGGGGTGGTGCAACTACAGGGCGATAGATGGCGTTTACACGAATAATACCATAAGGTCCCTAGATTTTGGACCTCAGAATACCAAAATGTCAAAAGTCAGAGTTTTTATAACCATATGCACCGCCAAAAGTATGTTTTCAGCCATTTTTAAAGACATTTCAGCTATAAAACCCAGAAATTTTGCCATCTAGAGTCAGTCTCTGGGATATATTATTATTTTATGTATCCAACATATATTTTGTTAAATATTCTAATATATAATTAATAATAATCCTATATACCTCTCTAACAGCTGTTAAAGGTAACAAAGGTCCATTATTATCCCGTTCTGCCTCAAAATAGCGTATTAAGGATGATACGAACTCTTGACTCCGACTATTTAAATGTTTTGGAATTTTAAATATAGGAAAAACAAAAAAACGATATATAACAAAAAACGCCAATGAAAACTTAAACGATA